GTAGGGGTGATAATAAATAGCATAACAACTACAGATAGCCATTGCCAAATAACCAGTATTATTGTCCAATCCTATGCTAAAAATTGTACTTCAAACAGGATTATAGCAGATGTCATACTGTAAGGAGAGTTGGTAATGAACCAGATTCCAAAACATGATAAAATTTTCTTTCTTTGCTCTGGATTGGGGGATTTAAAGATTGTTTTAATATGCTGAGGTTTCACTGGGTTAAAATCTCCATGAGGAGAAAGAGGCTGATGACTTTTTAATAATTACTATATTTTGTGAAGTTTTATTAATATTCAGTTTTGATTTAGTCTACAAGGAGCAGACCTTGACCTTTTTGGTTTTAGCGGAAACTGAGGAATAAAGGCTTTGGAAATCACCTTTTTGAGCTATCTGGTAGCCTGGTGTTTTACTTTAGATGCATGCATTGGATCTTCTGGGATCACATTTTTTTCCCTCAAGAATAATTTTGTGTGTAACAGCCATTGCTTAACCTGCAGTATTACTCTTACTGTTGTGGTGTGTAAAACACAGACCTCGTGCTTTTACTCTTCATACATCTAGAGGTGCTTTTATACCACAGCACTTCCAGAATGTCTTGTCTTGACTACAATGTGAAGAGAGTAGTTCTAGAATACACGTTAATTATCTAAGAAAAATTACATTTTGAATTTACATTTACTTTAAAATTGACATCTAGATAGCTGCTTCTAAGTGTTTAAAAATACTTTATATATAGTAGCATAGTTGACCATGCTTTTATAAAGTGTTTCAGCATATTTTACAAACACACATATGTAATGTAAAACGTAAATCCAAATGTAGTTGTGGAAATAAGATGAGTGAGATTCTGCAAAAGATAAGGTTTTTGTTTGGTAACAAAAATGTTTAATTTCAAATGTACTGAAGAATTATTTCAGAATTGTGGGTTAAATAAGTCAATATAAACCAGAACTCTCTTACAAAGGCTAATACAGAGTTTATATTCAAATCTTTTGCCATACTTAAAAGTCAGTTTGATTTATAGATTTGTAATTTATTCATAGTCTGACCCTGCTGCACCAGCCCCTTATATCCTTTAATTACAAATGAAAAATACAATAGTTCTACTTGTCAAGAAACATAACTTCATTGTTTCTTGAAATGCTCCAAAGGGGTAAATGTTTAGTGCTTTGTTTTTGTTGCATTTTCGAATTTCTATTTAAGCCCATGTCCTTTAAAAAATAAAACACTGGAAAATTTCACTGTGGAGGGAGGTCCACAGTGCACACGGCTGCTGCAAGCCAGGCTGGCATCAGAGCTTGATCAGCCTGTCCAGGAGTGTGCCAGGCAGGCTGTAAAAATCCCAGTGGACAGATTTACAGTTTCTCTGGCAAGCTGCTCAAGCACCCTCATGGCAAAGGATTGTTTTCTTATGACAAGTTAACTTGGTGTGGCAAGTTAGCTTCAGCTTGTTACTATTGTCTCTTGGCACCTGTTTTCTTCTTTCCAAGCCCCTCTGTGTAGAACTGCTCTTAGATCCTGCCTTCACCTTCTCCTCTCCCTGCTAAAAATGCCTGTTTTCTCACACTGTCCTGGCTGACATCAGCTGCAGCCCCCTGACTGTGGTGGTAGCACTGTGACTAAAACCCCTTCACTTCCTGTGCAAGTGGTGCCTTGCTCCTGCTCTGCCTGGCTGGCGAGGAGGGCAGGAGGATGGAGATGCCTTTCCGTGGTGTGGCATGACAGGGCAGACACCAGAAATCACAAACTGAGTGAGATGAAGCTGTGCTGGCAGGCTGGGCCATGCAGGTGGGCCCCAGTCCAAGGAATTGGTGTGCCTGTTCCTCTCAGTAAGAGTCCAGGAAACCAGGGCACTCTGTTTGCCAAATTGAAAGGACGTAATTTTGAGCATATTTTTTGTTGATACAGCCAAAGTATAAACAAACATTGGACTGGGATTTTAGAAACCCCAGCTCTGATGATGATCTGCTGGCTGCCCTGATTCTTCAGCCAGGTGTCATCACAATACCATTTAAATTAAGCAGAAAAGAAAACTGTTCCAGGAATATTTTACAAATATTGATTTTTAGACTTAGTTTTATTCTGAAATAGACCAGGCAGTTTATCACCTACAAGTCTTTAATGCTAAATATTAATTCACATTGTGATTCATCATATTTCAAAGAATGCCTCATATTTTAATACTGTTGTGGATAGGAAAATGAATCTAGGAAGTTAGTATGCATGCCTTATTTGTACATGCTGCTTAGTAGTTCCTGCTTATCTGTTGACAAAAAAAGAATGATAATTAAAAATAAATTAGTAAACTTGAGTCACTTGTAGTAATTCTTACTCTTATTTTTTTTTTTTTAACTGTAAAATACTGAATTGAGCAGTTTTCAACAAACTTGTCATGTGGTCTTGTAAATATTAGTAGTGTGTTTGTACAAATCTTCAAATCCAATGACTTTGGGGGTTTTTGATTGTTTTTGTTTCCTTATTTCCAAAGAATGCTCCATATGCAGCAATAAAGGCATCATGATTTTCTTTAGCAGTTAAAGAAAAATAATATTTTCTTATTTAAAGAAAATAGCATTTTCTTTAGTAAAATTTTCGCCAACTTTTACTTAATTTTAAAAAAAGATGTAACCTTTATTTCCATCTGAGCAAGTTTTGAAGCTCTCTAATAGATCACAGGAAGATCAGCCTTATCTTTAGATGGTCATACAAGTAGCATGTCTTTGGCCAGTTACTTTACTTGGATTTATAACTCACTACTTGGATTACTTGGATTTATATTCACTAGTCAGTATCAGTCTTAGACTTTGGTATTTTCCCTTGGTAACAGTGGCAAAATGCCCACTCAGTCAATGCATTGCTCAGCCATTTATATATATATATTTAATTCAAATGAAAATTATTATCAAATTTAAAATTAGTGGTAGAAGTATTAAACTAGTTCATCATTATTCATTAGTCTTGTTTCAGATTTGAGCTATACGTTAAATTCCATATAGCATGGATATTGAGGTTATAGTCTTTGGATGTTCCCAAAGAAACCAAAGCCCAAAAGAAAACCAAAACACTGCTCCAGCAATATGAATCTTTTGCACCAGTTTGCACCAGAAGTCTGACCCAGAAAATTCTTGAGACTAAAAACAAAAAGAGGTAATTTCACAAAGCTCACTGAATTAATTGTTGTCTTAGGCTGCTTGAAAGTTACTTTTGTAAAAGGAGAAAAGAACTTTCATGGAGCTAGGCATTTATGATCCCCCCCCAACCCTCCTACTCTCTACTGCTAATTTATTAATTACAGTTATCAGCATAATTGTCAAATAAGTACATAGAAATTTTTGAAAAAGAGTGGGATTTTGACAATTGTGCAATACTTTATTAAAAATGTGTTCTCTCAAGTGTAATAGAGACATTCTCATGCTAACTCTGTTGTATTACTACTTATTATTCATAATTAAATATACAGTACTGCTCAACTTCTGTCCTTTCTCTTTTCATATTACAAGAACCAGTATAGCAAGACTGTGAAATAAATGAAGTCAAAATAATTTTCTCACAAACACAAGGAAATAATTTAATGTTAATTTCTGCTCCTGGCTGTTTCCTAAAATCACTGAATTCTTGCTAAGGGCTTCTACAGCCATCTTCTATGAAAGCAGGTGCAGAGGAGGGAGAAGGGAGAACCAGAATAAGACTCTTATGAAGAATAATTTCCCTAGGTACTTATGCATGATACTGCAGGATTCTGATTTATAACAAGATAATGGTTGTGGTTTTAATTGCATTCCCATTCACTTATTTCTGATCTTTAGAATGAACCTTAACAGACATACACAAAAATATACACATCCTCACAAATACAAATGCATGTATACAAATATGCACAAATTGTCTGCATTTTTTCTACAAAGACAGAGCGCCTACAAGATGTAAGCAGGCCTAACAGCTTCACTTATTCCTAAGATTGTCTTATACCTCCCATCATAAAAATCCACATTAATTTTGTTTTGACTAATCCAAAACTTCTCTTTTTCTGGTTTGCCACAGTTTATCAAAACAATTAAAAGTATGAGGTGATCTGCACTATGGAGACCTTCAAACATGAACTTTAAATTTGGCCTAGGGTGACTTTTGCATCATGTTTGAGGGTTTCTGACCTTATGGATCACCAGTTTTTTTTCTTTAAAGAGCAAACTAATTTCCTTACTTTAGTCAAATGATGTGCCTTATAAAAATTGTCATTTGCATGAAGTCAGGAGATAATTTGTGGTGGATCTTCCAAAGAGTCCTCTCAGAGCTGGCAGATTTCAACCTACAGATGAGTATTTGAGGCTTTGTGCTGCTGAGGATCGTGGTGATGTTCACTTCATCAGAAGTGAACAGAGGAGCTGTCCCAGTGAGCTTGTTACCTCTGTTTCTGGGCTTAGGCTTCTTGGAAGCGATCTTTGCCTAAACCTAGTATGAGAGAGAGAGAAAGCTGACCCACAGGAGAATATTTTGGGATCAGAAACCAGCAGGGAGTGGGAAACCTGGGCTAAGAATTGAGGTGGGAGTTGATTGTAACTGACTGAAATAGTAATTTATTTCACAATTCTTCATGTATAAGTAGAGAAGTAGCTTATCTTTGTGTTGGTGTGTGAGAATCCAGACTTAACGATCATCCATAATTTTGAAAATGTAGCAAATTGTATAACTTCATGCCCTGAAGCATAAAAATAATTTCGATAGGCAGAAACATAGATTATTTTCCTCAAAAAAAAAAAAAATAAATCAAGCAAATAACCATATTTCAGCTACAATTAATAGCAGGTTTCTAGGTTGAATAGCAAGTGTCTATGTAAAAATCACTAAACCTAATTGCATCCCAGATTTGTTTTGAATTCAGAGGTGCTACCTGAGTGGTTTCTTCTAAATGATCATTGTAAAATACATAGTTATTGCACTGATATTTGAAAAAAATATATTTACTTATTTTCTTTTTTTTCCTTTTCAATTAGGAGTTACTGATATTTTTACAGAATTTGCCTACAGTACACTGGGGAAATGAAGACATCAGTGTACTCCTAGCAGAGGCCTACAGACTGAAGTTTGCATTTGCGGATGCCCCCAATCATTACAAGAAGTGAATATAAGGAGACAGAAATCATTAGAACCAATGTGTTCTGCAGTATTATGGCATCTGTTGTTCTGGTTATGCTTTCAGCTCATTGCTCTTTCATTTGAAGTAAGATGACCATTAAAATTCTGTTAGAATTTGCAGAATGAGAACAGAATACCAAAGAAGTGGACAAAGCAGGATATCGAGCACTGAATGAACTTAAAAGTGAATTTTTTTGCTCAGCATGGAAAATGAGTTCAGAAGTCTTATAGCATAATTTTCTTCCTTTATCCCCTTCTCTAAATAGGAGAATTGTAGTCTGTCTTATTTATGTTGAACAATTTTTTACGTACTTCAGACTTAAAACTACTTATGGAATGATTTTGTCATCACTTTAGTGTCACCTGCCATGGCTTTATCAGCCAGTTCTGGTTGGTTAAATTATCTACTTTGAGTGGCAAATAAGAATTTTTCCATGTTCATCCAGGCCATATGAGACAGCAAGGCCTGTGTTTTGAGGTCTGGTTATAAGACCAGTCAAAAGACACTGATATTAGCACACCATCTGTTGTTTTTCCATGGAATTAGGTTAGAATACTTCCGTAATTTAAACCTACATAAACAAATATAAACATAAAACCTTCCATAGAAGGTTGTAATGGAAATTGGTGGCATTTTTCAAAACATTATTCAGTCATGAAGGATGCTATAGAAGTTTTTTAGCCATAAAAATGAGTTACTTAAAGCTGAAGACTCATCTATGACACTGAAATAAATCCCTCCCAATATCTTTTGGAGTGCTTTAAAATAGTGAATTAAACAGAAGTCATGGTCTTGTCAAAGTAATTAAAGTTTCTCTTTTAAGGCCTTGCAATTTTTCAGCGTGAAAGTTCACTTTTAAGAAATGTATTAACAAGCTTGGTTTACAAAGCAAGATATATGTTTATCTCAGTTGTTGCCTTATTCTCCATTTCTAGCAAGTTAGAAAAGGAAAATTAATATATCTTTCCAAAGCTTTTTTGTTAAATAATTTAACACCTTTTTTTCCTGATTATTCAGAGGAAGAGAGCTCGCTCCCAATAACAATAACAGTAACTGTATACTCAGATTGCTCATGGGTCCTTAGCAGAACAAAAATCCTCTATGAGTTTATAGACTAAAATTAGTGTTTCTTCATATAACCATGGGATACTGAACAATTTCTTAAAAGTTACATAATTCAAGTGCACTATTTTTTTTCAAGAAACAGTTTCTGATAAGAATTCTAATTTTTCTCTGTTGGATGTAAATAACTCATATTAATTTGTGCCTACCATACACATGCAGGTTATGAAGGGTGGGAGCTGCAATAAGCAATACACTTAAAAGCTCAGAAATTATTCCTCAGTTTGGTTCTTGAGTTGCACAGTGTTGCACAGAGAGTGTAGTGCAATTTTAAGTTTGGGAAATAAAAAAGAGATTTTCTTCAAGAGATTTTCTCTTATGACTTGTTATTGGAAGATTATTTTCAACTCCTTGAAAATATGTAGATACATATTTTGAAGAGAGCTTTCTAAATGTGTTAGTTGCATTACTTGCTGTAGGGGCCTTAGTTCTTCATACAGACTTTGTAATAATTAGGTGTTTCAGGGTAAAAAAAATACATTTTTACCAACGTGTGATTATGAGACCATCTATATTTTAAAAGTCTATGAAATGTTTGGTAGAAGACAAAAAAAGAGAATTATTTCAGAACCGGAGTGTTTGGCAGCCAGATGCATTTCTTTTCTGCTGGTGTCAGCCGGGTGTTTCAGTTGTGATGGATACAGGGTCAGGCCTCCCAGATGGCTGCATCTGTGCCTGGAATGTGTAGTGGGTCTGTGCTTCTTACATGTCTGTGTACTGCTTTCTGTAACTTCAGTTTGTGGTCTAATGTATCAAAATTCATGTTTACAAGAATGTCATATTGTGCCTAACAGTGTCTACCAATAACAGAATAAAAAAACCATGAAATCTATGACCTTTTGCTTTAAACTTGGTATCTGCAATCATTTGTTAATAGAAATGCATATTATTGTAACGAGAGAAGACAACACAGCATTAACTGTTGTAAGGGGTTTCTATAATTAACTTTTTTCTATTCAGATGGTGTTTAGGTAGTTACAGGTAACATGGAAAGTTGACCCAAAGTTATCTGCTGTGTCAGATGCTCCTGCATAACATTTTTGGGACTGGATATATAAAATTTCCTTCATTGGGTCCACATAAGTTGTCTGCCACGTCTTCCAAATTCAACAGGTACCTCTTACTTCCCTTAGAAGGAAGTATTACCATTAGAGGTCACATTTACTATTGTGTCTGTGTCAGAAGTTGAATATTGTACTAGAGCACATTGCTTTTTAAGGATAGTGGGAAGTTTCCTAATATAATACCAATGTTTATTTATGTAGATATAGACTTTTCTGGAAAATATGATATAGATATATAAATAACATTTATATATCTATACAGATAGAAGTAGTTCTCAGTAAATAGAAGGCAAACATTTATGTAAAATTTCAGATCTTTACCAAAAGCCCACACATCTAACAATTTTACATCTCAGGTAATATGTCATTCCAAAAAAATATATTGCATAGAAACAAAAATAGCATTATCATTATTATATCCCACGTACTTAGTTTTTTTCAAAATTCAAGATTCTGAATATTATAAAATTCCTTTGTAATATATGTATTTTCTTATGAAGGAGGCATCTTGACACATCACTAGTGAAACCAGGCAGTAATTTCTTAGAACTCATGTGAAATATTGAAATTCCAGTGTCTGAAATGCGTGTTAAATAATTTCTGTAATAAAAGTTTAAACTAGAATGTACAATATAAAAAGATTTATGACTACAGAATTTGAAAAATGTAAATAATTAATTAGTTAACTGTGTAAATACAGTACGTGGAGTAAGTTAGAAATGTAAGTTGAAATCTTACGTAACTCTGTAATATGTTATAAAAAATTAGTTTTGTTATTTTTTGGCGCAGATCCATATGGAAAGGCCTATTAATTTGTTTTTAATTTCATAACTACAGAATAGAACTATTTGAAGTTCCATTGTATGCTTCTGACAAACATAACCACTGAGGCACTGGTTAAAACTGTAAAACTGGTGAAAGATGAGGAAATAAACACATATTTATCAAGTGCTATATAGAGTGGAAAGCTTGTGTTTATTGTTTTCTTCAAACACACTGCACCCTACACCAAAGTCTGTTTTACAGCCTCAAACACCATTATCACAAGAGGAAAGGCATTAACCAAACCTTGGTTCTCAGTTACATTTCTGCCACCCCACCAAAACTTGTAAGTTTTGCAAGTCGGTAAGCCAAGCAAGTTCCAAGGGTGTATCTGTGCATAGATCATGGACATACAGGGTACTGAGCATTTTCTGGAAAAAGCAGATGATGACAGATTTGGCACTGCAGCAGAATTAAACTGAAGAGAAGGTGGAGTAAATCGGGGCAAGGCACACAGAGGAGGCACAGAATTCTGTATGGCTTTGGAGGTGCAGGAGAAGAGGAAACTTCAGCTTATAGTGAGTAAACAGGTGATAGGATCAATAAGATCTGGAAACTAAGATGATTTAAACAGATCAACTATCAGGGAGAGATGTATATGTATATGTATATGTATGTGTATATGTATGTATGTATATGTATCTCAAGTCCCTTATGTCAAGAAAGCTACTGGGAGACTTCCAATAATCCAGTGTGTCTGGTGAGAAAATATGCAAGGAAGGCAAAGACAATAACTCTTTAAAACTCCACACCATATTTAAGGGAGAAGAGACAGGGATGCAGAGGCAGTCTGTCTGTTATGTGCTTGAATGACAATGAATTGTAATCATGCTGGTTTCTCACCTTGAATAAAACTTGTGTTTCTTTATCTGCTATAATCCTCTAAAGATCCTGCATAAAATCAGCAATGGGAGATACTTCAAATTGTTTTTTCAAAAGCAGAAGAGATCAAGAAGGTGGAGTAAATGCCCAAGGGGTCACAAGGTATGTGCTGGTATTTGTTTGTTGATTTTCTTGTGCAAGAGGAGCCCTGGAAAACTGATATTCTGGGCAGATGGAGGACTTTCCATGGATATGAATGGGAAGTTAAACAGAAAGGACTTTCTGAAAATCTGATCTCTGCTTCAGGTCACTTCCTCCTTGAAAACAGAGTGGAGTGGAAGTACTTTGTAGTACATTAAATTCTTTGGAGATGGGAAGAGGAGGTGAGGTAGAAAAGCTCCCAGTCCAGTGATCACTCAGGCAGAATTCTGTGCCATAGGAAAAAGCTGCAGCTCAAGTGCTGCTTATCACTGTATGATGGAGAGTCAAGTTTCTGAGCAATTTAATTCCAGATCATTTGCATTTTTATAAATTAAAGCTAAAATCTTGCATCCCATCTAATTCCTTAAGCTTAGTGTAGCTGAGGCAGCACAGGAGAAAATAATTAAATTGCTGTGGCACTGTATCAAAGACTCTTAACACTTCAAAGTCTTCTGTGTGGAACCCACATGAGAGTCAATGCATGGGCCAGAAATGAGGGGCTGAGAGATGTGATGCTAGAGAAAGCCTCTCAGAGACAGGTGCTCTGAAAATTGGGCTTTTTCTGGCCATAAGAATTTCCTACAGGCTTCCAAAGAAGAATTAATGTGCACAGTACATAGTTGTTTGAACCGGGCTTCCATTTTTGTTGTAATCAAGCTTCCACATCAGAGAAAATAGAAGTCTGAAATTGCAACCAGTATGGACAGAGGTGTTTGGAAACTCATGCCCCAGGCACAAGCTTAAAATCTGAACTACAGTACAGTTATTAATTTTGTTCCTCATACAGAATCCTCTAGAAAGGCAAGTCAGAAATGGCCAAAAGTTCTAGCAGAAGTCTATTGCAATGTCTGTTGTTTGGTCTTTGTTATCAAATCAATCAAGATTGAGTATACATATTTATCTGATTTTCCTGTTATGTATCCTTCAGAACTGAGATCTCATTTCTGTGAGATCTGGATTTGGGGATCCAATACACTTTATTCCAGAAATTTCTTATTCAATCATCACTTACTTGTGCCTTCTCAGAAATCCTCCTCATGGGAAGAAGAGCATTCTGAAATTTAGAGCAATAGAAGGAAAAAACCCCAAACCCAACCAAACCAAACAGGGAGATAAGAGTTATAAGATAATATAAGTTATATAAGAGTTTTATTCCCATTAATTTCTGATTTACAGAAAGGAGAAAACGTGCCTCTTGGGGTATTTAGACCACTTCATCCTTAAACTCGTGATGCAATCTCTCACATAGAGCTTTTTTGAAATTCAGCTTAAGTATTTTCATATATTTCCATCTCCCTCCAGAAAGATTTGAGATTTCCAGTGAACAGTTCTTGCTAGCAGCCCATTTGATCAATTCTGTTCACTCTTTTAACAGCAGCAGAAATACAAAATACATAGCTGTCATGACAGCTCACAGGAGGTAATGAAATACCCAGTCTTATCAATAGTTATATGGCTATCTCACTCCTAAAATCTCATTCAAACAGCAAACAGACTTGGTAATTTTTCATCTCTTGTGGTCAAAAAATAAGTCTGTAGCTCCATCTCAAAGCTGTGCACTTTCAGACTGTAGCTAACAATAAACTATATATCTGATGAAAGAAATTTAGTCTTATACTTACCTGATCAAGTAAAAACTTTTCCTAAGACATCAACAAGTATTTGCTGCAACTGTATAGAATAAATTGTCTCATGCAAATAAATAATTCAGCTTTTGCATGCAGAAATGAATAAAGTTGGCATATCAGTGAAGAAAATTTTCACTGTTATATTTTTCCCCATATATTTTACTATTATTGCATCAGTGAAAAATTCTGTATAAATTTTAAAAAGGAGTACTTTTCTCTCCATCACTGTCATCAAATACAGGGCATCAGACTTCTTCACATTCAGGTGAAGCAGCCATCACATACTCAGTAAAGAAACTTTATGTGAATGTTTTGCTGGTACGAGCCAGCCTGTTGCATGTGCAATCATCCTCTGGGTTGTAATAGCTACTCCAAATAATTCAAATCATACTGGACAATATTGTCTCTGCTGTTTATGCAAGAATAATAAGAAAAAGTCCATCTTTCCTCATCCAAGGACACCTGTTCAGTTTCAAAAATTTGTATTCATTATGGAAATACTCTGAAAATAATATATTTTTATATAATATGCATATATAGTATTATTCAATTTTCATAGAAATTTAAGTTAAATTGATACTTGTAGCCAGCAAAGGATTCACAAGTCCAACAAGCATTTCCCACAAAATGTAGTAAGGACAAAATATTTGTCTTTACAGGGGGATGTCAATGGACAAAAGATTTAGTGTTGGTTAAGTAGTAACTTTGCTTATTTATTCAAGTTACTATCTCCCCAGTCTAACAGTATGTCAGAAATGGAGAGACATCCACCTCTGAGCTTTTGTCATGCTCCTTTCGTAGCCAGGGGAGAAAATCAGGTCTTTATTTCCAGATGACAGAATGTTCTGACTTTGAAGGGACCCACAAGGATCTTGAAGTCCAGCTCTTACATGAATGACCTGTTGAGGACTGAACTCACAACCCTGGTGTTATTTGCTCCAGGCTCCAGCCAGCTGAGCTGATCTCAGCCCCTTCAAGGTGCCATTGCCCCTGCCTCTGGGTACACTCCTGGAGTGTGCCAAGTGCCAGAGCCAGCTCCTGGTGCCTCCAACATAAGAACATGGAACTTCTGGAGAAAGTCCAGAGGAAGAATATGAAATTTATAAGGGGACTAGAACACCTCCACTATGAAGACAGCCTGAGAGAGCTGGGGCTGTTCAGTGTGGAGAAGGTTGTGTGGACACCTTGTAGCAACCTTCCTTTATCTGAAGGGGGAAGCTGGAGAGGGACTCTTCATCAGGAACTGTAGTGACAGGACAAGGAGTAGTGGGTTCAAACTGAAAGAGGGGAAAT